TGATGGTCGGGAACGTTAAACTCAACCTTGAATTTCTTTCCTTTAAATTTAATGGAAATTACTTGATCTTTCTCCGGAAGAATATTAAATTCTGGAGGGGCGCACTCGTCTTTCTCATAATCATTGATCATAAAATTTGTTGTAAGTTGTACAATGAATGAACCATTATCTAGGGATTTTGTTTGTTGAGAGATTAACCAAGACAAAGCTTCATAAATTGGATTAGCGCTTGGCATACCATACGGACCCATAATAAGATATTCAATTTGAGCCGTGACGAAACGTTTCTTTCTCCATGACCCTTTTCTGATGACAGAACCAAAGAACGTGAATAATGTAAAAGCTAAAGCACAAAGTCCGTACGCAAAGGCGTTGGTAAGAAACATATCAACTGCCATTATTCCGGACATATATGATTCTAATTTTGTTGGGAGCCATGCCAAGAGAATTGTTTGCACTTGCGATTGAGTGAATAAACTAACAAAGGGGTGAAAAATGTCTGTATAATCGATATAACTATGCATGATTTATTATTGATTTTACGAGTATAATTTTTTGTTTTTTTTTTTTAAAAAAAAAATTGAATAAAGGAATGAGGTTATTTATTTTTTGGGATTTATAATTTTTTCTTTCGGATAATGTTATTGTTGAGATCCAACAATTACATGCTGATCACTCGTCAAAACAATTTTAACAATAACGCGTACCTATCACATGATTGACCTTTCTATAAATGTCAAAATGGCCGGCATTAAAGTTTCCGGCCAGAATTAACCAGCCAGGACTACTGGTGACAAATAACGAGTGACGAATAGGCGCTTTGTCAACAAAAGCTCAGTACTTACTTAATAAGAATGGAGGGGCGTGACCGGGGTGATAAAATTTGGCACGTGAATTCGTGACATTTCGTGAAGGTTACGCAGGAGATAATCTCTTTTTTATTTCATTGTCGATAATTGACTTTACAACAACTTCTTCACTTTTTTTTTTAATGCCACGCGAAAAAAGAAACGAATTGTATACAGCGTCATTCTCTTTTAAGAAACAAAAGAGAAAACCTTGGCGCAGCGATCCTTTCTCCGGACAAAAACAGTTACTTGCATATCTTTGCTTTTTTAAAAATGCAAAAGAGAAAAATCAAACCTATGCCTAAAAATAGTGATTAGGCGCATGAATAGAAAGTTATTCCTGGTGCAATACTGACTACTAATCAGTTAATCTGTGACAAAAAAGATTCTTTTCCCCCGAATACTTTGAAATAATAAAAAGTGGAGTTAGTAAATTGTTAAGTCACATGATACCGCCAACAAGCCATTTTTTTCAAAAATTTCACATGCTTCTAAAATTATCGAATCAACATTTCGATTCATTGAGGCATGAATGCACGAAATAATCATCTCATTCTTTAAAAACCCAATTGAGATTTTATAAAATTATAACAATTAAGCGTTCATATGTGAGAGATTTGGAGATTTTTTTTTTTTTATAGTTCTGTATAAATCTTAATTATGTAACCGAAAGGTAATAATTTTTTTGGCGTGAGTAATTATGAGTCGTATGATATTGTTTAATATTACAGAATCAGAAAAACTCCAAAATCTCGTTTAAAAAGTTACAAAATTTTTATATACAATATCTATAATAATACAATATAACAAATTCGCTATATCAGCCATCTACATTTGAATGCTTCATTTTTATCAATTGCTTAATAAAGAAAGCTTTACATAAAAAGAATTCGTTTAAACAAAAATTTCATTCTTTGCATAACAATGATATATTTTGGAAAACATAATCTACATTTTGCTACGATAAAATGGTAATACGTCAACCAGAATTATTACGATTACAATATTAATTATAAAAGATTGTCTTACCATCCATTTTGGTACTTCAACCCAATGATTTCCAATGATATGCAATATGTGAGTACAAGGATATTTTAAAAAAAGTATTATCTTTTACATGCCGAAAATGGTTAATGTTTATTAATTATTTAATTTTTGATATCATGTTTATGGTAAATCATATGATCCAAAATAGTAATGGATCTGATTATGGACATCGTATGATCCCTAACTTAAAAGGGACTTTTCCGTTAAATTAAATTTATAAAATTTATTGTCCTGATATAATTG